GGTGGACACTATATATAGTATTTCAGACCAAGATTTGAAGTCTTACATCTGAGCAGCACTTCCTGATTAGGAATAAAATCATCAATGAGAAATAATTGCCTAAATAACTTTTTATACAGACTTAAGCCTAATCCCTTGCACTCTTAAAGAAGCATACTGATGACTTACTCTTTGGTTATACTTTCCTTCTGGGTGTTTAAGACCTTACAGTTGGCCCAAATGAATCCATTTATCTTTACATTTAAGGTCATTTGAAGATCTGTTCCTCAGGGGTCACATGAGCTTGGGAAGAGCTCCTGGATCCTTTCTTTTACCGTAAAACACTTCCAGCTATGTGAAGATAAGTCAAAGGTCTTGTTCGACCATGTCTGGCTCCACTTGGAAGCATGAATGAGATGTTTCCTTTAAGTTGACCCTCCTCTTTGTAGACTGGACACTGGTTCCAGTCTATCTCACGGGGTCTCCATGTCCTCCCTGAACAAGAGGACAGATGACTCACCACAGTTACAGGACATTTTGAGAGATGTGCCATAGTCCTCTGGAACTTAGTTGACCTTGGAGGGCAAGAGGCAAAATCTGTCCTTGAAGTCCCTCTGACCACATTAGTATAGGCCTTAAAGTATGGCTGTTAAACATCCAATAAGGTTAGTTCTACCAGTCTGGTACTTTTAATTATCATGTGCTATGTAGATAAGGCTTAGGTAAAGAACCAAACATTTTAAAATAAACCTTGATGAGACATCCTTCAACTAGTTGACTAAGCTATGACCTTAGAAATTTTAAGATTATGTGTATATTATTTTTGTCTCATCCTTTATATATTACAAAACTAAACAGACCTTCATCACTTGCTTAGGCTTTCATTTTTTTCTGTTTTGTAAAATATCTCCATTCCCATATCCTTTTAACATCTTTTACATTCTCATTTTCTTTCTTTCTTTTTTTTTTTTTTAATAATTATGAGACAGTATAGCATTAACAAATTTTCCTTTGGTTGTGAAACTTCTTTTCCTGGGGATGCTGCCAGTGCCAGCCGGCCGAGATGAACAGCATCTGAAAGGGGGAGTGAGGATGAAAGAGAAATAAGAGACAGAGAAAGATATGTGGGAGGACTGTCAGTAGAGACTGCAGCCCCGGTTTATTTCAGCTCAGCCTTTTCATACAGTAGAACATCAGAGATAGCTACCATTTGCTTCAACAGCTGTCTTTTCCCACCTTTATCTGAGGGTCAAGGAGCGGTCAAATACTTGTCGTGAATTCCACCATTTAACCATCTTCCCTAAACTATCAACACATTCCTCCTGACTTGGCAGAACAATTCCGTACTTGTGTGCAAAACACACAAACTCTTGAGTCAAGGTGAAAGATCATAAAGTAAACAAGCAAGCCTGACACAGCTCAATGTACATAATGGCTGTGCTTATACTCATAGCTCCCAACAGGATGCTAAGCAATGCTTATTTCCTTTTAAGGTTCTAGTGTCAAGCCAATGTTTGATTAAAGTTTTACTGGGGAACCAATGAATTTATTGAACTTACTTACCGAGGTAACTGAGGGGTTGCTGAGGTATATGTATGATCTGAGGGTATGTACACTGGAAAGCCTTCACCCAGCATGGGTCATGCCTTCTCTTCCTAGCCTTCAGCAGATTGTATACTTTAACCATCCCCAAATCCAGGAGGCCATGTGTGATTGGGTCAAATTACATACCATTGGCTGGGGTAATTGTCCTTTTTATCGATTTATTTATCTATTATTATGGTGAGTATATGTGTGAGGTGTATGTGTGGGATGTGTATGAGTGCAAGCGCTTGTGTGTCACAGTACACATGTGGAGGTCAGAAGGCAACTTTGGGACTTGGTTCTGTCCTTCCACCTTGGGTTCTAGGAATCAAATTCAGGTGGTTAGGCTTGCAGAGCAAGAACTTTTAACTGCCTAGCCATCTTCGTTCATCTTCATTTTACTTATTAAAGCTTCAATTTTTTTAAATCAATTTCATGATGCTTTTATGTTATTAATCAGTTTTTATCCTCTACTGGGATAAGCTGGAGATGGAGAAAGTAGCATTTATGAGGAACTATAGCTGATTCTGTAATCATAAGTTATTGCTAAAATTTAAAATGTAGCAAATGGGAACTGGAGGGATGGCTCAGCAGTTGAGTGCATTCTGTTCTTCCAGAGGTTCTGGGTTCAGTTCTAAGCACATAATGTCAGGTGGCTAACAACCACCTGTAACTCCAGCTCCAAGAGATCCAATGCCTCTGGCCTCTGTGGGCACCCCTACCCACATGCAGAGACAAACACATACATAAACAAAAACACATAATTGAAAATAAAATAAATCAGGGGCTGGAGAGATGGCTCAGCAGTTAGGAGCACTTGCTGCTCTTGCAGAGGACCCAGGTTCGATTCCCAACACTCACATGGCAGCTGTCATCTGTAACACCAGTTCCAGGGAAATCAGATGTCCTCTTCTGACCTGTAACCTCTGGGCATCTCACAACACAGGTACATTTATACACATGCAGCCAATATGCTCATACACATAAAATAATAGATAAAATATATATTTAAAAAATAAAATAAATCTTTAAAATGTAACAAATGTTAGAATGATAATTGGTTTTAATTATTAACAATTATCCTTAACTGTCATTAGAAAATAATAATAATGTTCAGAACCATAAATATATCATATTTATATGTTTTTAGAATAAATTCTAAAATGCAGTTTATAGAGCATATTTAACCTTTAAATAATTTGCTTTGGGTAGAGATACTTTTCTTCCTTCTTTCTTTCTTTCCTTCCTTCCCTCCGTTTCCGTCCGTTCCCCTCCCGCCTTCCTCCTTGCCTCCTGACAGAGGCTTACCCCAGCCCACAGTACACCTGCCTGAAGTATGGCAGTTTTTAAGGACTAGAGACTGCACTGACTTTCGAATTTTTGTTTGTTTGTTTTTTGAACCAGGGCATCTATGTACTTCAGGACAACAAGTTTCGGCTACTTACTCAGCTCTCTGCAGGAAAACAGTATTTAGAACATGCATCAAAGGTATTTCATGGAGTATAAGATGTGGTTTTCACTGAAAAGAAGAGCAGAATTACAGGGAAAAGTACAGTGGCAGTCATAGCAGCTCAAATTACACATCGTGATTTCTGGCTCTTTGAGAAGCCCACACCCACGCTCTCTAGTGTGTCTTTTCTTAATCCTCATGGTTAAAAGTCTATGTTAAAAATGTCTTTTAATGATGGGTATTGGTGCATACCTTCAGTTCCAGCAATTGCAAGGCAGAGGCAGGCAAAACTCTGTGAGTTCAGGCTAGCGTGGTCTGCAGATCGAGTTCCTGGTCATCCAGGGCTATATAGCGAGACCTTTTCTCA